CGCGGTCGGCCTTGAGAGCGGCGACGTTGTCTGTGGCAATGGTGACGTGGTCCCTGATGTCGGCGAGCTCGGCCCGTCGAGCGCGCCAGATCGTAGTCGATGACCACCGCCTGCCACACGGGCACCACGACGCCGTCTGCATCGTCAGCCAGTGCCGCGTACAGCAGTGACTTGCTCGCCGCGACAGCTTCGAGGCAGGGGTTGGCGAGCAGGCGCAGGACCTCGGCCAGCGCGTCCGCCGCGGCCTTGCCCGCCTGAGCCGTCGCAATGGCCGCGGCAAAGTACGCCCCGTCGTGGGCGGCAAGTCGTGTTACCAGCTGAAGATCGGGCGTGGTGGGAAGGCTCACGCACCTGATCATCGTCGAGCATGTCGCAGAGGCTGGCGGACAGATTTACCGGCTCGCCATTGTGTTACCCACGATCTCGAGCAAGGCCTCGCGCGTCGCGGCGACGCGCTGAAAGCGCTTTTCCACGCTCCCCTGGCTTGCGCGCGCACCAGAGCCGTGCGACGACGATGAGGCCCGGGCGCTGCTCGACGCAGCCGTCGGCGCGGCGCTCGACCGCGTCGCGCTCGACCGGAGCGCGCGCCGTGGCCGGGGTGCCGTGTCGTCAGCCTCCGTCTCATCGTCTGACGAGCCGTCCTCGCGCGCAAAGACGTCGACGTCCTCGTCCGCCACGAGGCGCTCCACCCAGGCGCTCACGGACGCCGCCCCTTCAGCAGAGGCTGCCGCCCGCACGCCCTCGCTGACGTCGTCCCAGTACGCGAGGACCAGCGCGCCCAACACGACGCGCACGTACTCGGCCGCCGGCGTCACCACGCGCGTGCCCAGCCCCAGCTGCCACGGCCCGTCGTCCCACGCCGAGTCGGGGAGGTCGAACGCCACGTTGACGCGGAAGAGGTCGGTCACGACGCCGACCATCGGACGCCACGGAGCCTCCTCGGCGCGTGATGCCTCCCGCGACGCCGCATACGCCGCAACCTCGAGGAGGAGCTGGTCCTTGGCGCTCCCGCCCCCGCCCGCCAGCCGGTCGAACGGCCGCTTGAGCTCGGCGAGAAACCAGAGACCAAGCTCGACCTCGACTGCGACGTCGGCGTCGGCGCTCGTTGCGCCGAGCCCCACAAAGACGTCCGTCTTGCCCGTGTAGCTCCGCGGCGTGCGGTCCGTGACCGGCACGCGCGGTGGAAGACAAAGCGCTTGCACTGGAGGACGAGGACGGGCGGGAGGGCGCCGAACGAGGGCGTCCGGCACGGAGTGTGCGTGGTCCCGCTCGCAGCGTCGACGTACTCGACGTACTCGGTCTCCATCGCCGCCACCAGCGCGTCGGTCAGCGTCCGCGCCGCGTCGAGGTCGAGCATGAGCACGAGGAACGGCTGGCGCGTGACCGACGGCGGGCCGGTCGGCCCGGCGAGCTGCGACACGAGCGTGCCGGCAAAGAGCTCGGCGGCCACGGGCGCGGCGTCGAGCCGGCGCAGCTCGTCGTCGAGCGACGAGAGGAGGAACGTCCACCACTCGTGCGCATCGTGCTGCCGCGTAGTCTGCGTGCCGTCGGCGTCGCCGAGCGCGGCGGCCACAAACGCGTCGATGAGGCCGTAAAAGTAGACCGGCTCGAGCGCCGCGCCCACGCCGGCGGCCACCGGTTGGGCCGTCTCAATGTCGTGGATGAGCGAGGCGAACGCGCCGAGTGTCGGCGTCTCCGCTGGAGAGAGGGTGGGCGTGATTGTGGAGAGGCGGGCGACGGCCGAGTACACGCGCGGCGACCCGAGGAGGGCTTGGAGGACAGCATGGACGTAGCACACGTTGCTGCCGTTGATCATTGCCGGCGCCAGAGCGGTGGCAGCGTCGGGTGTCGGTGG